GAGAGACTTAAACGATTGTTTGATTGTGATAGACTGGATGTGCTTGGATCGTATTCTAGCAGTTAAATGTAACTTGTATGCTCGTGCATAGGAGGCTTAAGCGTTGTTTTTATTGCGGTAGATCGAAAGTAACATGCCCTTTATGAAAAGTTTTAGACAGTGATGCCCTAAGGCGAAAATAAAAAGAGTTTGATGAGTTTGAGATTGATTTTAGGATTTTGAGAAGAGATTGTTTTTTATTCGAATTGCACTAAAGATTATGGATAAAGGTAAATATTTTAAACTACCAAGTCAAGCGTCTTATGTCCAAAATACTCAGAGTGAGGGCAGGAAAACTCAATTCTTACTCCTTCTCCACCATTTAAGGCTCGTGGCGCGAAACCTTAATCAGATTTTATAGTGTTTTTTGAATTTGTCTGCAAAATGGTTTGAAAATGACTTGACATTGGATCAAGTGTTTGGAGTTTGAATTGTGAAATTGGTGAGAATGAAAGTGTGAAAGTGGAATGGAATGATGAGATACTCGACGTTGGATCAAGCACCCACATCGTGTTCAAATGAATTTGATTTTGAAAAGCATTTGATGTTGAATCAAGTGTGTTTTTATCGTTTGGATTTTATCTTGTTAATTAGCATGCAAAGGAAAACAGTAAAGAAAATAGATCCTACGCTATTACATGTTCATGAGAGTGGAGGATATTTCATCTACCATGGAGGGATAAGATATAAACCAATATATTTTCATAAAAATTTTGTATATTTTTCCCACAACGGAGAGGGAGGGGGTGAGTCGCATACCACAAATGAAAGCTAAGTCCATGCAAGCATACAAAACCATACAATACCCAAAATTAATCAAGTGGTGATATGAAAATCAAACAACAATCACAAACATGATTCATGCACCAAAATGTAATCAAAATGGATTAATTTTAATGAGTTTTAATTGAAAATCAATTCTAAAACTAATCCTAATTAAAATGTCAATTAAAGTCTAAGGTGAATTAATTTCTTACTAAACTAACTAACGTAGTAATTTTCTAAAGAAACTAATGATTATTTTCTAAACAAAGTTAAAGCTTATTTTAAACTAAAACTAATATATATTTTAACTAGAACTAAAGTATTATTTCTAAATAAGCTACTAATGTTTATTAATCTAACTAAATCTATTAGTGTATTTTCTATACTACTAATATATTGAAAAAAGCTACTGAATGTATTCTAAACTTAAAGCTACTAATATGTTTAAAAAAGGCTACTGAATATTATATCTATTAAGCTACCAATATATTAAAAAGATAACATCTAAAGAAGCATGTAGCTACTGCTTCTTCAGCACATACGAATGTTCGCAGGTATAATGTGCATACATGATAATTTAATTGAAATTACTAGTGAATCCACATGTTGCAAGTGCATTATGTGAAACTAAGAAAACATCACATGTAGTAAACTAATTTTTTTTATATAATTATATATGTTAGAGGAAATTACCAATATGATTATATGTATTTAAAATCGATTTAAGGATTTAGGAGGTTTTTGAGTTTAAGGAAATTAGGCCTTCGTGGCCAAATCTGTTTTTGAGGTTGTTTAAGTATGGGGAACATTACCTTCATTGTTTTTAATATATGATTCAATGTATTTAAAGCCGATTTAAAGATTAAGAGGTTTTTTAGTTTGAGTAAATTAGGTTTTCGTGGCCAAATCTGTTTTTGAGGTTGTTTAAGTATGGCGAGTATTGTCTTCATTGTTTTCAATATGTGATTCAATGTGTTTAAAGCTGATTTAAGGGTTTATGAATTTTGAGTATTGAATTGTTGTTGCCTTTCTGGTGAGTTTAATGAGTTTGAGGGATTTGAACTGATGGTCAGATAGGTTTGAGGCTAATTTGGGAATAAGGGAAGTTAGGCCTTTGTGGCCAAAATATGTAGTTAAGGTGTAATTGATTATGAGAACTCTAATGAATGTGGAAAAATTGTAAGGATTTTATGGGAATTGGAGGCGTAAATATGATATGGAATTGGCCTAATAAGTCGTAGATTTTGTACCTTTATCGCCGTAATACGTTAGGAATGATTTAAGGATGTTTTTGGGGCATTGAGGAAGGAAATCGTAGGGACTTTCGGACTGGTTTTGCTACTGGTGTGTAACAGAGTTTTGCTGTAATCGCGAGTTTGCACAGCGAACAATCCTCGCACGGCGAACTGTCCAGCGAACGTAGTAGAGTTTCGCGAATTGAGTTCTTGTGCAGTGTTGTCTTGATGCTTTGATGTTGTGATTTTCTGGATGAATTACCTTAAGTATGATTGTGATTCATATGTGATTAATACATGATTGTATGATGATTCCTATGAGTAATGATGATGAGTTATGATATTGATTCCATGAGTTTTTGATGATTATATGATGACATGATTATTATGATGATTTTGATGAATGATGATGCACCTAATGAGTTTATTATGAGGATGATATTGATGTGTGCATCATGCATTCATATGCATTTCGGACTTCGGTCTAGTGTTTGATTCTTGTGGCTTTAACCCCATTTGCGGATGTGAAGTATTTTGTTGTGCTCCGGTTTTTGTGTATAATCGATCCTATTGATGGGGATCTAATGGCCCAGTGTCAATTGAACTTTGATGAATTGGTACCACATGCATGAGTCTTGTTGCATTTGCATTTATGTGACAATTTGGTGTAATTTATGATATTATGGCTTTTTGATGTTTCCGTGATGATTATGATGGTGTTGATTACGAAAATGACGTTATTTTATATATTGATTCATATATTGATTATTATGAATCATTTTACTCACCCTGCCTGTTTGAATGTTGCCTCCACGTGGGTAACGTGGAGATGACCAGGTTTAGTCGTGGATGTCGTCGAAGACTTTTGGAGTTTTTGACATTTTGGTTGACTTAGAGGGTCTTACTCTGATAGTGTAACATCGGGTTGGGGTCTTTGAGTTAAACCATGTTTTATTGGTTTTTGTTATTTTGATTATGTTGTTGTGCAAGAAAAACTTTGGCTTTGCCTTTTTGAGTTCCGCTGCCATTTGAGCAATTTTTTAGTAATTTTGGGAAAATCCGTTGTTTACGGAGCATTGACTTTATTTTAAATTATCGAGAAATGTATTATTGAGAAATGTACGCTAAATATGAATGATTTGCCATTATATTTTTGGGGTAAAAAAGGGTATTACATCTATAGCCCTGCTAACTCATTCAACTCCACCCAGCCCACCATAGCCCCCACCAATGAACACCCAAACATCCCACCGCCAAATCACCCAACCACTATTTGACTTCCTTACCTTACAAGAGTCATTGCTTTGTTTTCAAAAGAATTCAATGTACCAATTCGGCCAACCATATCGTCCTCACCTAACCTAACTACTACGACCCAACTTAGAAAACATTGGCACATAACGGAATTACGGCAGCGCCGTTGGCGGCAACTCTCACATCTATTGAATACAAATGATTGAAAATATGTCAAATACTCTCGAACCCTCGCACCAACTACCTTTTCCTCAGGCCAATACGCAAGGATCACAAACACCTCAACAAAATCGTAGTAGACCTCAGAGCCAAACTAATGAGTCAGGATGTGGAACCGGGGGCCATTGATTTTCAATTTTTATTTTAATAAATAAAAATTTAAATTATTTTATTTTTTATTTATTTTTATTTTTATAATCATATTTATTTTAAAAAATTAAAGAGGATGTGCCATTTGAAATAGCGCATACATTCCATGCAGAAATGTATGTGTCATTTCTCATGACTCCACATACATGCATAAGTCATTTCAAATGACGCTTTTGCTTTATTTCAAATGCATAAGTCATTTTAAATGGTGCATTTGTTTTAATTCTTTTTCAAACTTAATTATTTTGAAAAAGTGATTATTTAATATTTTATTTGAAAATAGTGGTTATTTTTAAAATAAAATAATAAATTTAAAGCTCAAATTTCCCCAAAAACAATAAGGGAAACTACCATAGCATATCCATGGTTCAAATGTAAAAACAAAATCTAATTCAGTATTTTATAAGCATAAAAAGATATATATAAAAGACAAAGACATGGAAGTAACTTATATTTGCAAAGAAAAAAGAGCGCATTCTTGACAACAACAAAAAAACACATTATTTTAAGTTTAAAAAAAAAAACTAAATTTCCATAGTACAATAAAATATATTGTGTTGTGTTTGATTTAAGTTGGCATCTTATTTGTAAAAAATAAATAAGCAAGTTAAAGTTATCTAAATAAAGGCGTGTTTTTTGGGTATCCCTTTTTATTTTCATTTTATACATCTATCTATTTTTCTACAATGTTTAATATTAGGGGTGGACAAAATTTTCCAACCCAGCCCAAACCAACCTATCCAAAGGACCCGAAAATATGCGGGTCGGATTAGGCGGGTTATCGGGTTAACTATTTGGGGAAAAAAGAGTTTAAATGAGTATATTTGATCGGTTTAGGATCCAATATTTGGACCCATGGATATCCCAACCCGACCGACCCAATGAAAGTCAATTTTGCTTGGGGGGTTACCTTCAATTCTTCAAACCAAACATACATGTATTGTGCAATTTTAAGCATATGTATGACATTAAATCCAAATTTATTTTAGCAGCTATACACATGCATGTATTGTGCAATTTTAAGCATATGTATGACATTAAATCCACCCCTGCAAGAGAACCAACTTTTGGTAGGATCGTAAAAATGTGCACATCGTGTCTAAGCATTAATTAACATAAGAAAATCATAGTCCTAATTATCCTTTTGATCTCATGTAACACTAGACACCTAGTGCACATTGCCTAATTATGAATACTAGAACAGAAGGTTAACTAACATAACATCATTAGAAGAGGTAAACATAACATTACAGAATATTTATTAAAGAACAATATTACAACAGATGAGTATTTGACAGAGCTACCAACCAGAATAGTGTTTACAAATTGGAAACCGTGTCAGTGTCTGATGGTGAGCTCGGCCCTAAGGTGTAGAACGCCGTTGATGAAGTAAAGACAATCCTCAGCCATGAAGGAAGTCCATGGGATCGCAAACAAGTTTCTGTAGCCAACGGCCTTGCCACCTGTGAATGTGTAATTGCCTTTGTATTTGCTGACGAATTCCTCTGTTGGTCTTGACCGCGCCGCAAATTCATAGTCCTCGGTGAAGCTCACTGAGCCCTTTTCCTGCATTCCTAAAAACAGTCCAAAACAATGGAAAGAGCTTTGTTGATCCATGTTGCAATGTGCTGATAGAAAAAACCCTTGTCCACCCAAGTGAAATGCCTGAGAATAAACCCGGCCAGATGGGAACAAGTTGTTACACTCGTCGCGCTTTAGATCCAAGTACACCACACACTGCTGGCGAGGAAGTTCAAATTCAACCACCTTGACAGGACGATATTTGTATGCCCTCTCCAAGAAACGACGGCTTGAGCATGTAGGCTCTTCTGCTGCCAGTGACCGTTAACGATGTGGAACCTCTGCCTAGAAAAATATGGGCCTCAAGTACAAGCTTGGATGAAACATCATGTTCAAAGTCACTACAAGTTAAGACCTTCTTAAGCTTTCGGCAGGTCATATAAGGGAAGCGAATTAATCTTGCAAGCCGTGAACCTAGGACTAGTTGTCTTTCTTCCAGATTGCTATACTGTTGTCTAGCCCACTTCAACACAAAGTCATAAACAGCATCTTCTGACGCAACCTGGAGATCATCACTAGACAATATTGCCTCTACTCCAACTAGGGGCAAGTTCATAACCTCTTCCTGGAACCTGGTCAAATACAAGATTTATTGTTATTAGCATTCGAAAAGAAATATGAAATTGAGATGAAACCAATGAAGAAAGGCAACAAAAGAAACAAGTGTTTTATAAATAGGGAAGAGAAATATATTATTCCCGAAAGACTGTCTTGGAATCCAATAGAGAAAGCCTCTCTAAAATAACTTGACTACTTAAATATAACAGTCATCTAAAAAAAAGCAACGCCTACAAGAGTTCTAACAGTCATCTAAAAAAAAAGCAACGCCTACAAGAGTTCCAACAATTAGACACTACGCACAGAAGAAATACACAGTTTAAAAAACGTTTTGGCCCCTAAATCTCTAGTTCCTGACAAGTGCGATTGAAAGATCTTCTTAAAAGATAAAGTGAAGTACTGAATAGTAATTTGTAATAGAGAAAAATCTTATAAGAATTAGCGATGCTTGAATCTATGCAAGGGAAACTGAATTTAATATAAAAAATATAAAAAACACTTGCTTGGTTATATCTTTGTATCGGCTAGCAAGATACTGCTTTGCACCATCAGTCAATGGTTGAACTGCCTCGGCCATTAGGACACTAGAAGGCAGCTCCAAGTAAAGCAATGGAGACTCAGGAGTCATGGCAATATTACGCAACAACCGGCTACAATATCGCATACATGAAGCAACTTCAAATTTGTCAGCAGCCATCAACACATCAAGCAAACCAGGTGCAGTCTTAATGCTCAAGGTATTACTATACATAAAATTCAGTAGCTCCATCAGAGCGGCTTCTTCTGTAATATTAAAAAGAAGTAACTTTATTAGATGACTATTGAGGGATAACTAAAACCATAAAGCAAAGATCATAAAAAAGTTTACATATATGTTTATACCAGAGGCATTAATTCTGAGGGTTACATGTCTCAGCTCTGATTCTCTCATCCCATTCGAGAAAAGCTGCAAAAGACAAACAAACATTGCTATGAAATCATATTAATGGCAGAACTATACAACGTATGATATAAAGACGAGATGTTTTTCTACCTTATAGAAAAAAGGGCTTTTTGCGGCCAAGATAGGAGAACTGATATGTAAGGTTTTAAGTCTAACAACCGCAGGTTCGGCGTAATCCATGCCCAGGTTTAAATCATCATTGCTATTTACAGCTTCATCACCTACATTAACCATATCAAAATCAAAAGTGTTCATAGAGCGATAATGATAGCTTCATAGTCAAGAGACAAATATTATGATTTCTGTAACAGATTAATTTCCCTAACAACCTATACCCTTTTTTAATAGATTGATAGTGATGATCGTCAAGATTGTGGCAATTCAATGAGAAAATGTATTGGTCTAACCCTCGAGAAAACAAGATTGTACTATGAAGTAATGGAAGATACAAACAAAGGGCAATGGGGGTAAGGAGAAAACTAGTAAGAATCACTAACGGCACCTCTGAAAAAGAGTCCGTTTGACACCTCTGAAAAAACGTCAGTTTTTCGGTGTTCAAAACGGACACTTGCGACTATTATTAATTTTAATTACTTTTAAAATTATTACCGGTGCCCGCGTGTCAGTGTCAATACCGGTGTCGTGTTTAGTGCGTCATAGGTAAGAATCTCTTAGTCTTATTATTGAACAATTAAATTTAAGATTTTGAAGTTTACCAGACGGGGATTCTTCAACCATCGCAACAACCTCTTCATCTTGATTTTCCGAGGCAACACAATCATCCATATCAGGTTGGTTCCCATTCAAAATTTGCTCATCCGGCAGATCTCCAACTGCAAGCAAAAGAGGATAACAAGAAGATAAAATCACCTATACAAACAATATCCAACATAGCCAAAAATATCACATTACAGACAAACATCAATTCATTCACTAAAACCACCTTTGTTCTATAGCTTTGGTCCCTATCACAACCACTCACAAATTTCTACTTACGCAATAGGTTTCTCAAAATAACACAAATTAAATTTCTGTTTTCCCTTTCAAGCCCCTTTATTAATTTTCCCATAACAATATTTCTCTTTCCTAAAATGTCTACAAATCTAGAAACAAACCATTTCCAGTTTCATTTCATCACTGAAAAAAAGAAGCTAGAAACCCTAAAAAGTAAAACCATGAAAAAAATTAACTTTTCATTAAAAAAATTGCAGAGAGGGATACGGATACGGATACCATACCGTTATCTTTCTTGATATCCTCACGTCTCCTCTTACGGTGCCTGGCCCAATCGGTGATGGTGGTACAAGTTTCCGAATCCGGCTGAGGATCAACAGGGTCAGCCATGATCTCAATCCGAAGAATCCTATCGGAAAAACATCTTGCTATATGTTTTAACAAAATTGATGTCAAAACATCTTGCTATATGTTTTAACAAAATTGATGTCAATCTCAAAATCACAAACCTAACAGTATACTTATTATAAATGGCCTATTACATCAGTATACTTATTACATCAATGTATTTCTCTAAAAATGTCAAATTTTAATATGTAAAAGATGATTACAAAAGTATACATATATAACTTGCAGAGATGCATTTCTAGATTAAATCATAAAAAAAATGCGAGTATAACTCACTTACAAAAGAACGTAGTGTATATAAAATGCGTATGAAAGTATACTTCCTAAATAAGTAAGAAAATTTTTGGATTTTTACATTGTGGCACCTCACCACTGAGAGTATAAAGAGCAACCCCACTTCATTTCATTCTGTTCCATCATCAAATTCAACAAAAACATGTTTAAAATATGAGACCAAGGTTTTGCTATTATCCTAAAAGTTTTCTTTAAACCAAAGTAACTCAAGCTACAAACAATTATTTAACAAGTACTTTTGGAGAACATAGGTAAAGTAATCACATTTTAAAAATGACATTAAATAGAAATCTATTTTATCATAATTTTATCTAATTTAACCATAGCAAATATTTTTTGAGACTTTTTTTAACCAGAGTTTTAACGTGACAAATTTTGTCCTTGTGCAATAATCAGCCTGCATATCCTAAAAAGAGCCTTGGTAACAAGCATGATGCAACTACAAATGTACAACTATTAATAATAAGAAACAATAAAGCAAACCAAATCCTTTTCCTTGAACCACAAGTAAATGAATTAGGGATCAAAATCCCCAACCTAGATTCTATATCTCTTGATCAATCATCTTTCAACAACCTATTTGTAAAGTAAGGAAACTCTATAATCTCATATGTTGTGCATATTAACAACAATAATCAGAATCTCAGCATGCTCTCAAAACATCACAAACCTACAAAAAAAACCAGATCAATCAATTGGTTTGAATGCCTCGGCTCCAGCCACAATCTCCATAATCTCACCAGTAATCTTAGCTTGCCTTTCCCTATTATAAACAACAGAAAGACTCTTAGTCAACTCAACAGCATTATCAGTTGCACTCGACATAGCACCCATTCTAGCAGCAAGTTCACTAGCCAATGATTCTTGCAATGCCTTCAAAACTTGACTATTCAGATAAAGCGGCATCATCGCATCAAGAATCTGAGCAGGATCTTGCTCAAATTCCATAATAGGAACACACCCATCTTTAGATTTCTTCTTGAAAACATCTCTCTTCAAAGCCAACTTTCCATCCTTAGAAGTTAACCTAAAAAACTCATCTCCGGTCGCATCCACGCAGTTCCCATTCACATCGAAAACTTCTCCTTTTTTTGACAATGGTAACAATGTTTGAATCACTGGATTAAACCTAACTAAAGAAACAAACTTTGTGTAAACAAGTTCAACTTTATCAACTTCCTCACTAACAAAAAGTGAGAAAACATCATCAGCAATAATCTGAGCATCTTTTGTGGTAGGAAAACCGCGGTTTTCGATGAATCTATCAACTTCAACAAAACTCCTACGTTTGAAATAAGAATTACCCTTTTTACCAACACTGATAACAACACAACCTATACCTAGTTTCTTCAATTCGTCAACTCTGTCTTCTGCTTTTTTGGCGACGGAGTTATTGAAACCGCCGCATAAGCCACGGTCACCGGTGATGACAACGAGGGCAACGTTTTTGACGGGTCGAACGGCAGTTAAAGGAACTTCAACATCGTCGGACTGGAGCTGTTGGTTGATGGATTGGAGGACTTCGGCGAAGGCTTCGGAGAAGGGACGGCCGTTGATGACGGCTTCTTGAGCGCGGCGGATTCTGGCGGCGGCGACTAGTTTCATTGCTTCGGTGATTTTTTGAGTGCTTTTGACGCTGTTGATTCTGTCTCGGACTTGGCGGATTCCGCAGAGGGTTGGGAAATGGGGGAAACGGGTTTTGGGGAGGTGGGGATGAGGAAGGTGAGATTTTGAGGGAACCCCATTTGTGAGAAGGGTGGAAAACATTGAAGGTGTGGTGGGGTTTTGGTTTTGGGTTCGGAGTTGGTGATGGATGGTTTGATCCTGCGAGAGTTTCGGGAAGGGAAGGGAAGGTGGTGATGGGCTTTCCATACCGGGC